AGCTCAAGCAGCAGAGCCACTCGGCCACCCCTTCCTCCTCCTCCTACTCCCCCTCATCTCCCGCTCCTCTCTCTCCTCACACTGTGTCTTGGTTCAGTGCCTGGTTAGGCTGACCTGGCACTATAAACAAGGCACATGTTTCTCCTCACACCAGCCTCTTTTTTATGACCACACTTACAACGTGAGACCCTCGGCCTCCTTATCTGCTGACAGTTGCCCTCGGGAACCGGGTTTGTCAACTTAACTTTAGAGTGGAAACGCTCGCACTGAATCTTTTACACAGAATTATCATCGCCCTGGTTAAACCCATTAATCAATAATATATTCATAGTTGCGTTGTCACGTCAGTATGTGTATCTGTATACACCTCTTTGTATCCCGTGTGCACCCGGATGAGAACATTTGTTTAATAGCTTATGTATCTATGCAGGAGCATTTGGACAAGTGCTGACCAAACATGTTATCACACAGCTAACACAACATGTTGTATCTTTGGCTGTTTGTTTCCAGGAAGGGGGAGAGATGAGGGAGTGTCCCATTTACAGCAGGCATGTTGCTGATTTAAAAGCCCAGAAGTTCTGTGAAGCACGTCTGTCAAACACGTTTGCCTCGTGTGTTGGTAGTAGAGAGACAACTCCAACCGGTCAAGTGTTGTGGTCAGGATGAGCATAAGGGCCGATGGAGCAGCAGCCTGCATGACAGTGTATCTCCCTGCGAGCTCGTCTGATGCATCATGCTATAAATAAGCAGAGATGAGAGAGAGCTAAAAAATCAGACAGGATGGTCAATAGTTGGCCGTGGGTGAGGGAGAATATTCAGTGTCAAGCTCCAACTCCCCCACTGCAGGGCAGAACTCAGGCAGGAGGCGGGAACACTAGGCTTGGCTGCTGTATGTCAACAATATGTTCCAGTTCAGTGGTGTATTCACTGCTGCGTTTAACCCCTAAAGTCACAGACACTGTCTCCATGACTGGTTTTTCCTCCGGTGGCCTATGTCGTTCACTTATGCAAATAATTGATTAGTACTAAAAAGAATAGTGAAGCTTATGTTAGGGCTTCAGCAGTTAAACCAGATGTTCCCTTGTGGGAGAGTTTGGACTGACGTGTATCTAACGTATCATTTATCTACTATATTTAAAGGGAATAATGGCGTCCATTCGTCCAAATGGATTTCCAGAGATTTGTGGTATATGACAAACAGAACCAAATCTTTTCTGGTGGCCTAAAACCTTACAGAAATGAGGACATGTCTATGTATTATGATACTTTTCAACATGCACTGGAACTCCCAGTCTCCTGTGTGCTTAATATGTGAGAGGCTGGAGTTCGTGCTTGAAAACAGCTTTGGGTCTTCTCCATATGTCATGTTGTGCAAAAGGGGTGGAGGTGACAGCAGCATTGTCCAATGCCCCCACCCCCCGGCCACGCACCCACTCATCCACATATATACATACAAACAGCAGCAAGGGGTGAGATAATGCTTTGTCTAGACAGTCAGAAGTTATTTCATTAGCCATTTCATTTCATAGCCTCCCTCCACACATGCACAAACACACACACACACACACACACACTGGGCAGTGCTGCAGACCGCCAGTGAGGAGGCGGGGTCATCATAGTGTCTCCATCGGTGTCGGCAGCCATTAGGCCTCGGGAAGTAATCCAAATATATCCAGGCCAGGGGACATCGACCAGACAGACCTAACTGCTGTCTCTGCAGAGTCTCCTAGGTGACAGCTGGGGTCTCGGTACTGTATCTATCCTCTCAGACCTTTTGCTGCACGCTGACCATGGAGCAGTTGCTCTCTGGATTATTGATTGATATATATTTAAACTTATGAGTCTGAATTTACCGCGCTCTTGCCATTTTTACAAAGAACAGAGCTTTGGGAACTGACACAGATAGTTGAATGACAAGCAGGTTTCATGTTAAAAGACTATTTGTAATTACAAAAGACTACTTGGCAGGTTTGGCGCTGTCTAAATGCGTCCTCATCAATACTCTCTTGTCATGTTGTCAGCAGAGTATAAATGACGGGTTTAATAAAAGAGAGCAAACAGAAGCAGGTCACAGGCGAGAATGTGAGGGCCACTCATGTCCCCACCTCTCAGCGCTCTGTTCCCCTTTCCTCCTTTTCAGTCCCTCTCTCACCCTCACATGGCATGCAGATCGGCCCTGATCCTCCCAAAAAGAAGATTAACAAACCCCTGACAGAGAAGTAATCTCTCTGAAAACATTGACTATTACCATTTCAACATGCTGCCTCTAAACAGGGGAAAATACCTCTCTGGTATGCTTAATTGCAACGGGTGAGAGTTGCAGTGTTCCTTTAGTTATGCTAAATGGAAAGCCTTGGCTACTGAAGGCATTCCAGCATTATAAATGTACAACAATGGCCCTTTACAGTTTTGCACTTGGCTTAGAGTTCAGAAATTCAAATAAACTTCAAGAGGACATTTTCAAGGGAAGGTCTTTTGCACAGTGCTGTTTCTGACGACTCTATAGAGGGTGTTGTTTGTTCAGATTCTAGATCATGAGCATGTTTGAACTGTAGTTTGGGTGAGGAGTGATTCATGGCGACTGGAGCCGCTTTTCCAATGATGTATAACTGGTCACATTGTTGCCTGTGTATGTTGTCATGAGATAACATTCCAGCCATTTAACCTCTCACTTGTGGTTTCATTTAATCACCTATCTGTGTTCTGCACAGGCAAAACCAGTTGTGCTGAAGTCAAAGCTGAGTTTCCAATGCATTTCTAAAGATTTGGTTTGAGGGTGCACGTGTATGTCATTGACCCCTTTTGAACAAAGTGTTAAAAACAGATAGAGAGTCAATGACTGACCAAGATTAGGGTTGATGAGGAGTTCATATATGGTAATGCAAAAAGCAGCAAGCCTCGATTTGGCCTTTAAAAAAATAATTAAAAAATTCCGGAGCTATATGCGTAGTCTTGCTGGCTTGTGGATATGTAATGCTGGAATTTTCCATAAGAAGACAGGCTGGCCCCTTTGGCTGGTGTTCATCCATCCATCTTTGCATCCATCAGTCGGTGCCTGTGATTATCCTGTCAGTCTCTCAGTCACACATTGTTGACGCCGCTCGGTGACGCAACCCATCATTCAAATTATTTTTAGCGTAAAGTCCAGGCACAGGAGTTGGTAATCCAAGTAGTGACATCTGGCCTTCAGGGCTTATGTGATTAGCAGAGAGCCTTGCCCCTAATAGCCTAGCGGACGTTCTTCATTACTTCTCTGGACCAGCCATAGGGGCGAGACATCAAGTGACTACATAGGTGTGGGGAGTTAAAGTAAAACAAAAAAACACCACATCGCAATGATTTAGAGGATATTTGTGCAGATATCATGGATGGGACTTGGATAGGAACCGCATGAAGCATGGATGTGCTGCGTTACATCAGCTGCTGTACTGCACCCACCAAGCTCACAGTGAGCCTTCTAATGCGTGCTGTATCTCCAATCCTGCAGCATTAGGGCTAAGACCAGATGACCACGCAGATAACCATGAGTCCGAGCAAAGGGAAGAAAATAAAAATTCTAAAACGGAGAAGGAAGAGAGGTCAGGAGAGTTAAAAGGAAAAAAGCAAAAATAAAGCGTACTGGAGAACTGCCAGCTTCCTACTGAATTAATCATCATCACCACTTAAAGGGCTAATAATGACAAAGTGACGGGGCACGTCCCCTCCTCTCTGCTCTCTGTCCATAGAAATGGAGCCCACAATTATGGAAGTCCTCCCATCTTGGTAGGAAATGGTCCTCTAATTATCTCTGAGCAGAACAAAACTTCCCAGCTTTCAAGATGTCTATTAAACACAACAACGTTAAAGGGCTGTTTGCATGCATGGTATTTGTTAGTGTTGGGTGTGCATGCTGCGACCATAACATTCTTTGAATCATGCATCAGTTGATCAACAGCGAGGCCTAATTGTGTGTGTGGGCGGTAGCATGGCCAGGTGGAAGCTCTTACTTTGTTAGCAGTAAACTAATTTTGGCTTTACTGGAAACTGTTTAAACATAGCGGCACTACAAGTCTCATATAATCTGCCTTGTGCTGTAATAATCATTTCAATGTCACAAACAAGCCTGTTTGTAAAAGAGAGCGAGATAAAGAAAGGGACTATTTTTGGGCAGTTGTTTGCTTGGAGAAGCCTTTGCTTATTCTGAGGCAGCTTGTTCCCAGGAGTTCAGAGCACAGCCTCGCTGCAGTTTTGCTTTTGTTTTGTTGTCTTGTAGTTGAGAGGGAGTTCACTGCCCCTCTCTGGTTTTCATAGATTCATAGAGCAAGATTTCTTCCACCACCTTCCCCATAGTGAGTAATTGTGTACCAATAAATGCAAGGGGTGGTTTTTGTTGTGGGGAAGGAAATTGCATTCATTCCTCCAGACTTTTCCGTGGGCCTGTTTTTGTGTACGATTTTGTGTTGCACCTCGGTCTCAGTGGAGTGTCCTATGAAAGGGTATTCTTTTAGTATGCACTCAGCCTATTTACTCTGCTGCAGATGGGAACAGTGGGGAAATGGTATTTCCTCTTCATGAACCAGTGGTTTGCATGAGCCCTGCTCAATCTCAATCTGTTTATCTTTTGCTCAACATTCTGTTATTTATGTTATATAAGAATGTAAGAAATAAATCACATTTCATGAAAAGTATCCCTTTCTCTGCCATTATAATGATGTGGAATCTGATGTTTTATGAGAAAAATACTTGACAAAATAATTATATCAAAGTAACGTATGCTTACTGACATGTTCAAGGTTATTTAGTGGCTCTTATTTATAATGATATTAAAGAGTTCAAGAGATTAACATACTGACACATCAGAATATACGCTTGGTGTTTTAATGACCTGCTCTGACTCAAGCTGTCTTTATTTAAAGCGTGTAGCTACCACTCGTATTTCAGACACTCTCAAATTCCTAACCTCTCACTTTCATTCCCCTCCTGTCTATGCTCCTCCCCTCTGTTCCCCCTTTGTCACAGGTATGGCCTCGCAAGTGCAAGTGTTCTCCCCTCACACTCTCCAGTCAAGTGCCTTCTTTAGCGTGAAGAAACTGAAGGTGGAGCAGAGTTGTAACTGGGATATGACAGGGTACGGCACACACAGCAAAGTCTACAGCCACAACAGCAGCAAGAACGTGTCGACCACCAGTGGTCCCCTCGGCATCAACAGCTCCCTGCAGGTCGCCAGCTCCACCCTGCCCTACGAGCAGGCGCTCATCTTCCCAGCAAGCGCGGGCCACATTGTGGTCGCCTCAGCCAGCAGCACTTCGGGGGCCGTGGGGTCTCTGCTGAGCAGCGGGGGTGGAGGCAGCAGCAGCAACAGCAGTGGTGGTGGAGGTGGCGGTGGCAGTGGTGTGGGTGGCGGGGTTGGTGTTCACAACCTGACGCGCCGCAGTACGGTCAGTCTCCTTGACACCTACCAGCGATGCGGGCTTAAACGTAAGAGTGAGGAGCTTGACAACAACAGCAGTGTGCAGATCATTGAGGAACACGGTCCACCAATGATCCAGAACGGAGCAGCCAGTGGAGCCACGGTGGCTACAGCGGCCACCGCCACCTCCACAGCTACATCCAAAAACAGCGGCTCCAACAATGAGGGGGACTACCAGCTGGTGCAACATGAGGTGCTCTGCTCCATGACTAACACCTACGAAGTCCTGGAATTCTTGGGGCGGGGAACCTTTGGACAGGTGGTAAAGTGCTGGAAGAGGGGCACCAACGAGATTGTGGCAATCAAGATCTTAAAAAACCACCCGTCTTATGCACGGCAGGGTCAGATCGAGGTGAGCATCCTGGCGCGTCTCAGCACGGAGAGTGCAGATGACTACAACTTTGTGAGGGCCTACGAGTGCTTCCAGCACAAGAACCACACGTGCCTGGTATTTGAGATGCTGGAGCAGAACCTGTACGACTTCCTCAAGCAGAACAAGTTCAGCCCGCTGCCGCTCAAATACATCAGACCCGTGCTACAGCAGGTGGCCACAGCACTGATGAAACTGAAGAGCCTGGGGCTGATCCACGCTGACCTGAAGCCGGAGAACATCATGCTCGTGGACCCGTCTCGACAACCCTACAGGGTCAAAGTCATTGACTTTGGCTCAGCCAGCCATGTGTCCAAAGCAGTGTGCTCTACTTATCTGCAGTCCAGATACTACAGGTAAGAGCTGCAACTTTTAAATAATTGGTGTGACATTACAATGAAAAAACTTAAAGTATTTAATGAAAGCAGATGCAAAGAAGAAATTGCATGAAGAAAAAAAAACATATGTCCCTTTGTTTGCTCCTATCTGTTCTGTTTGGATGATCATTGTCTGCTGCACATCTTGTTTGATTTATTGCTGCTTTATTAGGAATGTTTTCATAGTCAAGCTGATTATTTGGCCACACACCCACACTCACTGCCAGCCTTATGAGCTGCTGGTGAAGTCCTCTCTCTTCACTCCAATTCTGCCTTTCCTGTTAGTGTGCCCCCCCCTTGCAATGTGGGAGAGGGCAGTTAAATGCTTGCAGAATAGCCAGCTGCTTATTGTGTTTAATGTGATGAAACAAGCATGTTTTATTGTTTCTGAGATCATTATAGAAGGTCTGTTACCTCACAACCTGCTGCAGCTCTGGTGAAGGCGCAGACAGACCACAGGTTAGATTTGAAGCTATGACATTTTTTTAGTTTCTTATTTTTTAGAGGGTCTCCGGGGAAGAAAGCTTTCAATAGAGGGTTTTTTGAAATGATCTCAGCTAAACTTCCTCATTGGAGAAGGGAACCAATCATGTTGGGTGGCAGCCTGCCCACAGGCTTTATTCACCCTTCTGCTCCCCTAGGCCCCTGTACCCTCAGCCCCCCATCACCATGGCTGGCTCCCATTTCCCCCAGGATAGAGATGAGGGGTCAGCCCGAGTTCTCCTGTAATATGTGCCTGTAATCCACACCAGCGGGCCCTGCATTAGAACCAGATGACTCTCTGGGAAGGCCTTTTCTTTCTTCTCCCAGTGCTTCTTAAACAGTCATTTTCGGCCCATAGCAAACAGTGTGTTTAGGTTTCAGCGGAGGCAATGTTGGGCGAACTGTTCGCGGAATCAAACAGTGTCCACGTCCCTTACAGAGGGAAGCTTTGTTTGGGGCTCGGGCCTGGTGCCGGGGCCAGCACTGAGGGAAGAACAGGTGTGTGTATGTGTGTGAGTGTGTGTGTGTGTGTGTGTGTGAGAGAGAGAGAGAGAGAGAGAGAGAGCCACGGTACCACTCATGTAAACACACACCCACACACATACCCACTCACATGCCAGGTGGTGGCTCTGCAACTGTGCATAGTGCAGAGGCCTGTGGTCCCCATTTAGTGGATTTTGTTGATAGAAGAGTCTGGTTTTGTTGTTTTTAAAGTTTATCATTAACTCTTTAAAATACTCCACACTGAAGACCATTGTTCCTGTGAAAATATGAAGGTGGCACTTTACAGTAGAGTGAACAGTAATGGATTCAAACTGCTGTATTTCCAACAACAGGACGTTTTATCACATCTGACAGGTGTGTTATTTTATTTGGGTTTTATACACTCCTCAGCAACAGGCTCCAAAACCTATATAAAGATCCCTGTATGGGAATTGGCTCTTCCATGTCAACAGTGCAGTGCTGTTATACTGTATCAGTTTAAGTAGCTCATCCTGAGGTAAATACCACGAGTAGCCTGTTGTTGCTCCTGGGCGGTAGGTCAACAAGCAGGCCATAAAATGTTCCTGTTTGTTTTCTCGGGGAGTGACGAGTGGAGGAGAGCGGAGAGATCATCCCTCCATTTCCTCTTGGCAGCGGAGGAGGGGAAAGAAAGGCCGACATTGACCAGTAAATTACAGAACCAGCCACCAAAACCTTGACCAGGGACTTGGTGACGCTGGTTTGAGGCACTGGGAGGGATGTGTGTTTGTGTGTTTGTGTGTGTGTGTGTGTGTGTGTGTGTGTGTGTGTGTGTGTGTCTGTCTGTCACAAGGTTTCCTGAACTCCAATGACATGCATGCACAATGTGAAGAATGTGTGTGTGTTTGCTTCACCAAGATTTCTTGTGAGGAATGAGGCAAGTCTTACGTTTCAATTCAAAGAATGAACTCATGGGACACGAGCGCTACGGGTGTCTTAACATCACACGCAGTTTGGGCAGCAAACAAACTTGAGCTGTGGGTAGAGTTCATGGTGAGTTCAAAAGCTTAGAAGAGAACATCAAACCATCTTTGATGATTTCAGAGGAGAAGATAGGAGGACAGTTTCTGCTGCAGACGGCACCTTTATACGAGGTAGAGATTAGTGGTTTGCCAGCTCCGACAGGCTGGTTCTGTGCTACTCTGTATCCTCCACAATAGCACAAACACATCCTCTTGTCTTCACAGATTCTTGTTAAGTAAAATATTTATGTCTTGTGCACTTACGTTTTTCTCAACAACTGCTGTTTTTGATTGATGAGGTGAAATTACATGAGACTGAGATGCTGGCAAAGAGGAATCCTCCGAGCAGCTTGTTTGCTTTTTCTTTGGTTCTCTCCTTGGTATGAAGAAAGAGTCATTTCAAACCCTTCACAGACAAAATACCTACAAAGCCATTATCACTCTCTTCTGCATATATCCATCTTGTGGGAATCTCATAACCTTCAAACACACGCACACATGCCTGTTTGCATTTCGGACATCACAGCCATGCTGTTGACGTCGTGTGCCGTAAGAGCCTTGCAAATGAGTTATGGATTTTACACAAGGTTGACTCATGCAAATAAAACACCAGCATTCAAGGTAAACAAGTGTTGGTCAATTTTTAAGAACAGCTCTCAGGGTGCTTAGAGTTTCAACTTTGTTCTCTCCAGTGTTGAGCGAATACAGGCTGGTGCACCTGAGCTCATCTATCTTTGTCAAACAGGCCCGTCGCACTTCTGCCATCGGTGTAACTGTACTTGACTGCGGCCTCAGTCTCCCTGCAATTATTTAAATGTATTATTACCTCAATCTCTCTGCAGTCTGGTACACTGCCTCTCTGTCCTGTTCTTAATTATTCTGCGGTGTTTACATCCTGATTACATCAACTTGTGACCTATCCATGGTCTTACTTGTTTTATCCTCCTTCCTCCGCCCGTTCTCTTCTCTTGCCTATAGCTAATTATGTAACAGGTAAGCCGGCTAGTCAAGTTTACCCTCTGCCAGATAAAGGGATTATTGTCTTGTCTCAGCGTGGCACATTTTTCCTATTTATCCCATCAGGTAAAGGCCATGAGATGGGCGTAATGCATAAGGACATTATTTAAATGTATGTCAAGTTTCTGAGGCAGTGCAGCTGGCAGGAGGGGGCCCTGTGGTGGCTGCTGGTGGTGGAACGGAGGTGTAGCGTGCAGATAGAGGCAGGGATGTTAGGAGAACATGCCTTCACAACCTGTATGTGTCTGCTGAGCTATCGAAGGGCCTCTTCGTTTAGGAATGGTTGTTTCTGTCTTTGGCTGTGTTTACTCTAAAGTCTATATTAAGTCTGCATGGGCATGCCACTAAGTGTCTGGTCCTTAGCTGCAACTTTGAGAGCAACTAAAGCTGGGCTCAGAGTACAGGACTTTCAGGCTGATTAAACCCCAAGTCAGACCCCCCGAGGATCGAAGGAGAAATCTGGCGTGGAACCTTGGCCAGTACCAATGTTTGGCCCAGATTATCCGGTAGTGTGAGGGGTTACAGAACCATTCTTAAACCTCCTGCAGAATCATCACGGCTGCCCCGATAATGATCAAACATGTTTTATATTAAGGATTTAAAATCGATATGTTTGCATCAGTACTTTCTGAGCGGAACCAATAAGAGAGATGAGTCAAGCTTTTGAAATAAGCTTCTGTGAGCCTGTTGCACAGCTGAGTTGGAGGGTAAGGGTTAGGCTATTCGATATGAGTTGACACATATCACCTCAGTTCTCGCTGAAGTATAGACAGTGTGTCCCAAACCATTTTCTTATCCGACCTCATTTCTTCTGCTTTCGTTTTATATCACTGCCAAGTACTATTACTAATAGAGCAACACGTCGCCCCTCTCCACCAAGTATTATTCTTAGAGGCTCGGCTCATAAAAACAACGATAAAAGATGTTTAGCTGTATTCAGTGTGTAGATTTGTTCTTTTTCCCCAAGTGTTCACATATCACTATCTGCTATTTCTGTCTCAAAGCCAATACAATCCAGATGAATGGAATTTGGTTCGTGGTACTTGCTCTTCATTTGGACAGTACTCATACATGCTGTTAAGACTTTTCATTGAGAGTCTTTCCTTGGTGGCAAGGGGTTCCAAAGAAAACCGTTCACAGCGAGGTGTGTGTATTATTCAAAGCAACAGGAATGTTGTTTCTTTTGCCTTTTGGTTCTTTCAAGGGCTACGTGCATGGCAAGGTACCACCAGAAGCAAGGACACAAGTGGGTGATCTGACTAATCAATTTATCTTGGTGTCTTTGTTTAGGTGCCTAAATATGCATATGGCCTCCACATATGGCACTTACAGGGTCAGGTACCTCACTGAAAGTACTTCAGATGGTCAAACTGCCCCCAGAGCCTTTCCATTGTTGGAATTAGGGTAAACTTACTTAACTGTAAGAAATCAACACTCCACCACATTCCAACAAATAACCATCTGTCTCCAGCTAGTTTTTCAGTCCTATTTTTTCCACGTCTGAAAGTACATGCCATTATCTCTCATATTTAATTGCTAATTAACACATGTCACCCTTCTCTTTTCACCACACCTTCAAGTGCAGCTGCCTGAAACAACCATAAACACTTTTACCTTCCAACATTTCCATTCTCACTTTTAAATCACACCCCACCCGCTCTGCCCACAAACAATAATGCTCTCTAACTGTGGATGCTTGCTCAATTACCAGCGACAGAGACCGAGAAGTTTCCTCTTGTAATTAAACATCTTAATATGAACACCTCAGGAGCCTGAAGCTGTACCGCACACATGTCAGCACCTGCATTCTTGTACCTAGTATTTAACATGCAAGCATCACAGACCTCATACTCGCACATGCACGAGAAACATTGAGTACATCAGAGGCTTAATATATCCCGAGGTATTAGCCTATTAGACATTGAGGGTGAAAGGAAAATGAGTCAATGGGATCTGAGAGGGAGGAATGGGCTTGTTGATGTCACTGCTAATCTGTCTGTGTTACCAGTGAGAAGCTAAAAGCCTGTGGCAGAAGATATTTTAATGCATCCGTTTGGAAACTCCATAAAAAACTCATATTATAGAACTCGCTGCATTCCCTGACTCTACTTTTAAAGGCCATATCTTTATTCGTGTTGGCAGTAAAGATGGGTGCAGCTGATGCTACAGTGGGATCTCTGACACCCCCCGGCCTTGTGTCGTAGCCTTAATAACTGATGAAATATGTATCCGTCTCCATCAGGGTTGGTGCTGCCAGTTCACGGGCTGAGGCGCATGAGTGTAAGACGAGCCGCTGCCCCACCTGTCTATCTGTCTCTCTATCTGTTGTTAGCTTCGCACAACCAGACAGACAGGGCCGGCGTTCCAGCACATTTACCCTGCCTCCGTGCGAAACATCAAGGGGTGTTTTAATGAATGAGGTTGCTATTAGTTACTGTTCTGTGAAGCGTGTGTTAAAGCGTATGTGCCAGGGAGGGAGAGAAAGGTAGGTAAACACAGGGATCAGGTTGCCACAGAGGAAGGGATGGAGTGGAAACGGGACATAAAAAAGGCAGATTTGCTCCGTGGCTGAGGTGCTGTTACAAAGCGCAGGTGTTGTTTATGGGAACATTCTCCTCCAAAAAAGGGTGAAAGAAGGAGAATGGGGGAGAAGAGGGTGGAGGACAGAGGAGTGTGAATAAGGTGGTTGTTTTGCGTTCCTCATCAGTACCTGGAACAGCGCT